TGGTTACCATGGTTTAGAAGGGTCTACACTTGGCTGTGCAGTGTGCATTGATCCAGCAAGGGGAAGGTCTTTTGCGCCGTCCCGCCCCCCCCCCCCCCCCACCGCCCCCGGCATTGTTATAAAAAGCCCTTTTGAAGAGGCAGAAGGGACCATTGGGATTTGATCCAGGTCCTACTGGAGCTATCCTGTGTTCCTGTCTTTCTCCTCTCTGCTATCTTTCTACCTAAAAGTTTCTTAACCCCCTCTCCTCCTCATAGGAACCCTTTAAAAGTTAAGAGCTGGTTTCCCACAAGGCATGCGCCACCACACTTGGTTTTATATGGTGTCGAGCATTGAATCCAGGGCCTCAAATGTACTGGGCAAGCACTCTACTGACTAAACCTCATCTCCAACCCTAGACATTCTTGTCCTGAACTAGAGATGAATGGTGATGGAAAAGGCCCAGGGTGATGTGAATTCACTCACATGAATAGGCAGACTAGCTAGTGTCATAGTCTAGATCCTAGACATTGTTTTATAGGTTAATTACAACGTCTGAAATTATTCCTGGCTCTCCGTACAGAAGGCCCTCTGATGGATGCTAAAAATGAAAACAGTGAATCTGGCTGCTTCTGGACCATGTGGACTACTGGATGATGCAGATGTGGAAATACAGTGATAAGTGCTGTAGCAAGGCTTCCTGTGCCTGCTTGAGAACACAGAAAGGAGTGATAACGGCTGTTCTTTACCTGTGTGGAGGAAATAGACAAAGTTTATGCCAAAAATATGACAGCTGGGAAAGGAAGCACCCTCGTTAAAGCAATAAGGGCCCATTTTTACCATCAGAGGCACAGGTCCCTGCATTTTATATTTTGTTGGGCAGCAGACATTGCAGATACAATTATTGGATCTGTTGTTCTTAGCCTGATCTCACCATGAGCACAGCTACTTCTTCCCCCAAGTGGCCAGTAGTTCAGGATGACTGCTGAAGGCCACAGAGAAACATCAGATCTGTGGGGTCTCGCCCACGCTACCTTGAAGGTTCCAGAATGGTGGTTGATCAACTTAAGTGTTTTTCTGGTCATGAGGGAGGCCTGCTGAAGAAACTCTTTTATCCCTGAGTTAGTAAAGGATTCCTCTCTCCTATTCACCACAATAGCTGAGGGAAGTTAGAAGAGTAAAGATAAGTATGTAGCAAGATTTTTGTGTTCCTAAAGCTTGAACAAAGTCTTTATTTTAACTTGCCCTGTTTTTGTGTCAAAATGCCTCTTTTAATAAGAAACTATTAGGTTTAAACACCCTTTTCTTGACAAAATTAGATGGCTCAGCCATAACAGCACCTGTTGAATAAGCGGAAGGACCTGGGTTCAAATCCCAACATCTGTGTAAGATGCCAGGCAAGGCTGCCTGCATCTGAACCTTGTTGGGAGGGGAAACCAAGAAGATCTCTGTGGCTTGTTCACTGCCTATCCAGCTCCAGGTTCACTGAGAGACCTTGTCTCAGGGAGTAAGACAGAGAATGCTAACAGGACACCAGAGAGCCTCATCTGGCCTCCAGGCGCCTGATAGGGACACAGTCCTGTACACACATGCGCGCGCGCACGCGCGCACACACACATATAAAATAGCAAGAATTGGTGGTACCAGGTGGCAGAGGCAGGAGGATCTCTGTGAGTTCAAGACCAGCCTGGTCCACATAGAGAGTTCCAGAAGAACCAGATCTACATAGACCCTGTTGTGACCACTTCGACCAGCAAGGAAGACACAACACCAAGGTCTTCTTTCTGCCGTTTATTCAGGAACCTTGAACAATCTTCTGACCCCGGGAAAAGCCAGCCCACGCCCTTTATAGCCACTGGGCAACCAACCCCGTAGTGCCACGTGGACAATGCCGATAGGGTCAGACATACGCAAGCAAGCCAGATTCCACGCCCAAGCCAAATAAGGAGTTGTTTATCCCAGAGAACACCCGCCATCGGGAAGGCGGAAGCCGGACGCCGGCGCCATCTTTGAGGCGCGGCCGTGCACGGCTCTCTACAAGACCCTGTCTGTTTTTCCCCCTCAATGTTATTCTAATTTAAAAACAAAACAAAACATTTACTCGTTGGTGAAGCACAAAAAGCCAGGAGGAGTGTACCTTGCTTTCTGCATCCGATGAAGACCTTGAAATAAGTTTACAGGATGGGTTGGATCTGTGATCTCAGAACTTGGAAGGCAGGAGCAGGGGGATCTTGAGTTCAGAGCCAACCTGGACTACATAGTAAGACCAAAAAAGGCGAAGACGGGTGTGTGTGTGTGTGTGTGTGTGTGTGTGTGTGTGTGTGTGTGTGTGTGTGTGTGTATGAGAAACTGTCTGTAAAGTGGGAACTTAAGTGATAAAGAAGATCTTCAAAACCAGTGTAGATACGATGAAGAAAGACTGAATTTTCCTTCCCAGATCAGAGTCTAGCCTTGCACTTCAGGAAGTTCTAGCCGGGGCAGTTAGTTAGATAAGAAAATGAAACAACAGGCATCCAGACTGGAAAGCAGAAGTAAAGCTCTCCTTCTCTCCCAGATGGCATGACCTTGTTTGTAGAAATGCTAGGGATGCCCCTGAACTACTAGGAAAAGTCCAGAGTCCAGCAAGGCACCTGTGAATGCAGTCAGGTGTATGTTTACGCATCCGCAGTACACACTCTAAAGTGAAAGTGAAACAATTTGATTCCAGTGACAGCTTGAAAGACCTTAATTAACCCTTAGGGATAAGTCTGTGAAAGATCACCAAGCACTCAGAAAACGACAGAACAGGATTGGAGCAATCAAAGACCTAAATCAGTGGAAAGATGGCTTGTGTTTATTGATCTGAATGCTCTATTACTAAGATGACAGTCCCCTCTAATTGATTCATAGAATGCAGTCCTCAAAAATCTCAGAACCTCTTCTTTGAAAAAAAATGGCATACTTATCCTAAAATTCACATATAATAGCCCAACAATGAGAATAAAAACCAAATCTATTTCCTGATGAGGACAGATGTTCTGGAGGGATTGAATACATGGAAAGTCTGGAGGTGAACCTTCCCACACAGTCAGCTGACTTTCAACCAGGATGACAGACCAGTGTCCTAGAGAAAACAGTGCTGGCACAGCTAGATGTCTTCATACAGAACAATGAGGCCACCTCATGCCATACATAACTCCCCCTGGATCACAGTGTTAGCTCAGTGTAAGAGCTAACGCTGGAAACCTCTTAGAAGAACACATGGTGTCAGTCTTCATACACCTGGATCAGCAATAGTCACATGACATCAAAAGTAGAATAAGCACAAGGGGGAATAGGTTATTTGGGCATCATCAAAATTGAACTTTTCAAAAGTTCAAAATATATGAAAAACAAATATGAAAATATAAAAATAAAAAATATTAACTGATAATAGGAGAAAGTATTTGTAAATAGTTTGGTAAGGAACTTGTGGTTAGAATATATGAAGAACTCTTCAGTTCAACAATGGAAAAATAAAAGCCCAATTGAAATAGACAAACAGGCTGGAGAGATGGCTCAGTAGTTAGGAGCAAGCTAGGCATGGTAGCTCACACCTCTAATCCCAGCACTTGGAAGGCAGAGGCAGGTGGATTTCTGTAAATTCGAGGCCAGCCTGGTCCACAGAGTGAGTTCCAGGACAGTCAGGGCTGTACAAAGAAACTTTTTTTTTTTTTTTTTTTAAAAAGGAGCATTTGCTGCTCTTCCAGAGAATGTGAGTTTAGTTCCCAGCACCCACATGGGGTGGCTTACAACTGCGTTGTGTGTGTGTTTGTGACAAGGTCTCTATGTAGCTCTGGCTGTCATAGAACTCTCTATATACCAGGCTCTCAACCTACAGAAATCCTCCTGCTTCAGCCTCCCGAGTGCTGGGAGTAAAGGTGTGTGCCACCACACCTGTATAAATATCTTTTTAAGTAGACAAAGGTCTTGGATAGACATTTCTTCAAAGATTCTCAGATTTCCAGTAAGCATATGCAAAGAAGACCAACATTGTTAGATATCAGAGGACTGCAGGTGAAGCCAATGATACTGGTTGTACCCATAGGGTGCTTATAATATAAAACAAACATCCTAAGTATTAGTGAGGATGTGGAGAAATTGGGAGCCTCTTTGGCTGTAGGTAAACAAGAAAATTGGTGATGCCACTTTGGAAAAAATCTGGCAATTCCTTAAACGGTTTCCATATGACCCTGCAGCTCTGCTCGAGGGACATTCTCAAGAGAACTGAAGCAGTGGCCACAGGATCATTCCTGAGAGCCATGAAGTGTAAACAGTATACATCGTTCAGTGTGGGATAGCTGTGCAGTGCGATACTATTCATGAGAGCCAGGAACTGTAAACAGCACACATCCTTCAGTGTGGGATAGCTGTGCAGTGGAATACTATTCATGAGAGCCAGGAGGTATAAACAGCATACAATGTGGGATAGTTGTGCAATGGAATACTATTCAGTGATGCAGAAATAAAGTGCTGGCACGTTCTGCAGCATGGATGACCATTGACCATAATGCCAAGACCCCGTTGTATGATTCCATGCCCCTGAAGTCTACAGAGTGGGCAGACAGTAGGGCAGAATAGATTTCTGGGTGTCTAAGGCAGCGATGGAGATGGGGGAGAGGGTTGAGTGTGGTGGCTCAAGCCTGCAATCCCAGGACATGGGAGACTGATGAGGCAGTGGTATCACTGTGAGTTTGAGGCCAGTTTGGGCCAGGTAGTTTGTTCTAGGTCAGTCTGGACTGCAGAGTGAGACCCTGTTTGAGATAGTAGGGACAAGACAAGATGGTACTGGTTGAAGGGTCCAGTTTCTGACCAGGATGGAGAAAGTTGACTGCGGGGATGAGTGCCTACTCTTAAATATACAAGAAACAACTGAATTTTATGCATGAAACAGGTTACATCATATGTGTGCATTCTGGCCCTGTACAAAAGAGACAGGTTTCTGAGGTATTGAAACTTGTTTCTTGCTGACTGATCTCGGCTTCCTTTCTCTTCCCCTGTAGAGCTAAGCCTGTCTGCTGGGTGCCGGCAGCTAGAGCACAGGAAGGGGAATTTGCCCTCGTCTGTGAGTCGGAAGCTCTACTTTGACACCCACGCTCTGGTGTGCTTACTTGAAGCAAATGGTAAGCCCTGCAGGCGTCGACTGCGCCTGCGCCCTGGATCAGTGCAGCTGACGGGGACTTCTCCTCGTGTGTGCTTCCTTTCCTTTCCAGTATTTCTCTTTCGACTTTTCAGCCTTCAGGAAACTTTTGGTTGGTGTTCTCATTTGCTTTCTGTTGCTGTGGTAAGCGCTGTTGCCAAAAGCAGGTTAGAGGAGGAAAGGGTTTATTTGGCTTACATATTACAGTCCATCATTGAGGATAGGAAGTATGACAGGAACTGAACTTGAGACCTGGAGGAAGGCTGCTTACTGACCTACTCCGCTGCCTGGCTCAGCATGCTTTCTTCAGTAGCCCAGGCCCGCTTGTCCAGGGATGGCACTGCCCACGGTGGGCTTGGCCCTCCAGATAAATTAGCAATGAAAAAAGATCCCCCACAGACATGCCCATGGGTCATGAAGGCAGTTCTTCAGTGAAGCTTGCTTCCTCTTCCCAGGTGTGTGGAATTGGCAGCTGGAGCTGACTGTGACAGATACTTAGCCTCTTTTTAAGTTCACTTTTTTTTTTTTTGGCTTGAGGACTTTTTTGAGAAAGACACTTATACATCTCAGGCTGGCTTCAGACTTACTGTATAGCTGAAGGCGACCTTGAACTTCTGATCCTCCGGGCTCTCCTTGGGATTACAGACATGTACCACATACAGAGTTTATGCAGGGCTAGGGAATGGAGCATAGTGCCGGCTGGGTAAGCACCCTGTGAGTTGAACTGCTCCCTCAACCCTGCTAAGGGTTAAGCATTTTTTTTTTTGCTTTATCAACACAATGGAGACTTTTCTTAACAGTTTTTCTCTATTGAAAAGACTACATTTTTGCTTATTTAGGATTTATTGGCGTTTTTTGTTTTGTATTTTGGGTGTCTTTTGGTTTTGTTTTATTTTGGTTTTTTATGTATATTTATTGTGGTTGGGGAGGTCAGCTGACAGCTTGTAGGAGTTGGTTCTTCTTCCACTGCCTGGGTTCTGGGGATAGAATTCATGTCAACAGTCTTGACACTAAGCACCTTTAAGCTCTGAGCCATCTCTTCTGCCCTGTTTGGGATTGTGGTTTGGCTTTTTATATTTGTTTGTTTTCTTTTCTTTTTTAATTTTTAAGATTTTATTTATCTCTCTCTATATCTATCTATCTATCTATCTATTTATTTTACGTATGTAGGGAAGGTGCCTTCAGAAGCCAGAAAGGGGTGGCAGATCCCCTGGAACTGGAGTTACAGATAGTTGTAAGCTGGCCGAAAAGGGTGTTCGGTACCAAACTCAGATCCTCCAGAAGAGCAGCAAGTTCTCTTAACCACTGACAAAAACTAGCCAGTACAGGAACTGACTTCAGATCCCAGCACCCACGTAAACAGCCAGGCATAATGACATGCCTGTAATCCCAGCACCGGGAGAGGGGAGACAGAGTGATCCACAGAGCTTGCTGGCCAGCCCATGTATCTGAGTCAGCCAGCTCCAGGTCCAGTGAGAGACCCTACCGCTAAATAAATAAAACAAACAAGCAAATAAATAAAAAAATGGGGAATGATTGAGGAAGACCCTCAACTATCACCCCCTGATCCCACATACACACACACTCTCACACATAGACCAGAAAGGTTGCCCTGACACAAATGCTGTTCACTGAAAGTACACTTGGAACACAGGATATCATCTTATAATTAATATTCAGAGAAATATGCTGACTACAGTTCTCCATATATGGCACATACATCCTCAAAACCAGGTTTTGAATTAACATAGAATATGCCTTTGAAATCAACATGTCTGTGTTTCCTTCACTGAGTATATTTACCCAGTTATACACATTTGTGTTGGGTGAGCACAGCAGCCCCTGGTGGGCCGGCAGACACCCTGGTTGCTGGGTAGCTGTGGAAGCCCTGTCTCCTCAGCTTCTGTGGGCCTGCCCATCTGTGCCACAGACAAAAAGAATCCCAAAGTTCCTTTCCTCTTGGGTGTTAAATGCAATAATGTATACAATGGGTTTGGAAAAATGGTCAAACACTGTGTAATAGTTTGTTCAGCTTTTCTCATCAAATGAAACAGCAGGCCTTTTCCACCAAATGTCTTCCAGCCTAGAATTTAAGAGAAAAGAGGAGATGAGAAGGAGGACATATAAAATTGTCTTGATAAGCAGAAATGTTCTACTTTTCTTGGTTTGGAACCTGAGGACGACGATAGGGATTGCTGATGATCCCAGCCGCTGAAACACATTCAGGTGTCTCCTTCTGGTCAGAGTGGCAGACATGTCAGAGCCTGTAGGTCTGTCTCACTCTCCCACTACGCCATTCTTTCCCCTTTCTTCAGAATTCCGGCCTGCACAGAAACGTGTGTGCTTCCTACGTGTGTGTCTTGGTTTTTTTCTTCTGAGTCCGGTTGTTTCTGTGTGCTGTCTAGGGTTCACCACTCAACAAGCAGAAATCATTGTGTCTGCATTGGTCAAGAACACAGAGACCAACATGGACATCGTCTACAGTGATATGGTCACCAAGGTGCAGCAGGTAAGGTGGGCAGGGTGGATTGGCACATTGGAAATCTGAAAGTAGGATATTACGTGTGATAAATACTCAAGCAGCCTTTTGGATGATGTTCTATTGAAAAGTGTATGGTAATTTTGACCATAGTTCAGAGGCAAAAATCATAACAAAAGTACTTCATCAAAGCTAGTTAGTTAGGTATTATGGGCTTGGGCTCATTGTGTCAGCATGGACTGTTCCAGGCAAGCGCATGTTAACGACTGGAGATGTGGCCGGCACTGTAGGTGACAGCGTAGCATTCCGGTCTCCCTCCCACTAAGCTGTGACTCACCTGCTTTTGCTGCGGATTAGTGCCCTTCTCCTCACTTTCTCACTTTGGAGCAGAGGGGCCCTTACCAGTCCTCTCTTTACCCCACTGTTCCAGTTTCTTTTTAGCCGTCTTAGCAGGCAGAGGTGAGAAGAAGTGGGTTGGGGGGGCCAGACGAGAGTCCGTGTTTTGTTTCTCTCTTTTTCTAGGAAATCACTCTTCAGCAAATAATGTCTCAGATTGCTAACGTGAAAAAAGATATGGTCATCTTGGAGAAGAGTGAGTTTTCAGCCCTCAGAGCAGAAAATGAGGTAAAACTGTGTAGCTACTCTAACATTCTCTGTGAAGACACTGAACTACACTCACCTAGAAGGGCACAAGAAAATAACTCACAGTGATCTGTCCAGGGTTTGCACTACTCAGCACATCAAGATGATTCCCAGCCCTGGAAAAACTGCCCAGGCTCCTTCCAGTCCCTCCTCTCGAGAGGAAAACAACCCTGGCTGATTAATCTTCCACTGATTTTGCCCATTCTAGATTTCTGTTTAATGGATGCATACGGTATGCCTTGCAATAACAGAATCTTTTGTTTTCACTCTCTATGGTGTTATATTAATATGTACATCATCCTAGTGTGGTGGATATTAGGTTTTTTATTTTCCCCAGTCTAGAGGGTTAGGAATAAATAGTTCTACAAAATACTCCTTTCCTATCAAATATAAATAGATGAATAAATAAATATTATTTCCTTTTAAGTTTATGTTTATGGGTGTTTTCCCTGCATGTGTATCTGTGTGTCACTTGGATGCATTGCCCTACTTCTGCACAGGCTAGAAGTAGGTGTCAGACCATCTGGAATTGGAGTTACAGATGGTTGTAAGCTGCTGTGTGGGTGCTAGGAACCAGACCGCCATGGCTCCTCTATAAGAACAGCCAGTGCTCTTAACCACTGAGCCATCTCTCCAGCCCCAGGTTGTTTGTTTTTTTTTTATTGCATCTGAGTCCAGTGCATGTGTGTGCATGTGCACTCATGAGTTCTGCACCATGCCTGTGGAGGTCAGAGGGTGACCTTGTGGGGCTGGCTCTCCCCTTCCACCTTCGCATGGGATTTGGGGATGGAATTCAGGCTGCCAGGCGTGCAGGACAAGTGCCCACTGAGCCCCCCCAGCCTACTTCCTGTCTGTCTGGAGTGTGGGGTGGCGGGTGGCTGTGGGAAGTGCTTCTTTGCAGCCTGCGTTCATCCTCAGTCCTGTTGAAGTCCTGGAAGGAGATCTTTTGTTGCCTGCTGAGCTCGAGGTTGTCTTTGAACTCAGCTTGTAGAGGGCAGAATTGGTTGAAAGAAAAAGCCAAGGAGGAATTAAAAGGAAAATGGGGTCCGTGAGGACAGAGGTGTGCCATGGCTGTTCCTCACCTGATGTGACCCACAAGGGGGTGAGGATACTTTCCCAGGTGCACAGGATGTATTATAGGATGACTATAAATGGGGCGTTGGTTTGTTTAGTTGGTTGGGGCTTTGGTTTTTTGAGACAAAGTCTTATTATGTAGCCCAGGCTAGTGATTTACTCGGATATATAGCCTAGGCTGGCCTCAAATTCATTGCACAGTCCTCCTGCCTCAGTGTCCCCAGTACTGAGATTGGAGGCTGCACCACCACACCCAGCCTAGGTAGTTCTGTGTTCTGAGTATAGTCACATGTGCTTAAATATGTTCGTGGTGATGTTTGTTTTGTGTTTTCCTCTGTCACACGTCCTTGACTTTTTTCTCTTTACTGTGTTTTTAGAAAATAAAACTTGAACTACACCAGTTAAAACAGCAAGTGATGGTAAGCTCTCTTTCCTGTCCTCAGGCGTGTATGTAATCACATACATTTACTAATAGATAAAATGTCACAAATACATCGTATGTGCTGGAGAACTCAATTCTGTGAATTTGTGCAATATATTTCAAAGCATACATCAGGTGATGTATCAGTTACCCTTGTCTATGGCCACATTCATTAAAGAAATTGTATTGTAGGAGGGTACGTTTTTCTTTCTTGAGAAAGGGTCTCAGTGTGTAACTCCAGCTCTCCATCTTCCTCTGTGTCTCCTGAGTGCTGGGGTTGCTCGCCTCTGCCACCACTCCTGGCTAAGTCATGGTAAATCAAAACTGCTCTAAAGAGACCCTTCTAGCAGAGGGTGGCTTTATAGGATTCCATGTGGGTTTAGATGGTTGCTCGCCCAGCAACTGGTCACTTTGTAAAGTAGGAAAGAACAGTGGCATTAGAAAGATTTTGGTGAGTCTTAGTGAGACAGCTTTTTATAAGTAGAGTTGAGTATTTGTCCTTTGGTCCATCTTTGCTTCTCAAATGGTCTAAAGAATTTTATTCACAGATTCCATGAGGGAGGTCATAAGGAGAGTCTTGAGGTTAAAACAGCTGAGCCCTGGCAGGCTGATGTTCAGCTCAGATGGGATTATCTGTGCAGATAACTGGGAGGGCCAGACACAGAGCTGATTTAAGAGATGGTTGCTCCTGAGTCCCTGTCTCCGAGGCCTCTGGCATGTCCCTCCTGGGCTGGCTCCCTTGGGATAGACAGCAGGCAGTCCCCAGTTTAAGCCCTCAGGAGGTTCAGATTTCTTACACTGACCTTTTCATTCTTTTTGTCCTCTGCCCTCTGCCCAGGATGAAGTGAACAAAGTCCGGACAGATACCAAATTAAACTTCAATCTAGAAAAGAGCAGAGTGAAAGAATTGGTATGTTCCTTTATTCAAAGTCAATTATTAATTTCTTCTTAGAGTGGAATGCTTGTTGAAGTCTTAATCTTATGTACAAGGCACAAATATCATTAGACACTTGTCCATTTATCAGAGTTCACAACTTTATTTTAAATCTTAATTACATTTTAGGTCAGACTTAAATTTGGTTCAAAAGTATCCTTTAAATTAAAAAGTTGTTCAAGTTGAATTTGAATATTTTATTTCAAATGTAGTAGATTATATGTTATATAGATGTTAGTAAGAAAATTAAACTCAATCTTAATCTATTTAATACTGGTTTAATCCCAAAAAAATTAAACACAATCTTAATCTATTTAATACTGGTTTAATCCCCACAGTTCCTAACTTTTCAAAAGCTCCTGATTTTCTGACATAGGTTATATTGTTATTATGTTAAATTCTACATAGAAATTTAGCAAAGTGTATTTCTGTATTGTGTTTTAAATACCATGAGTAGTTGTGTGTGTCAATGGATGTATGTTGGGTTGCTCTAGTGGGTTTTTATTTTTTATATTCTTAGCATTTCTGAGACTCACTAGTGTGATACCACTGAGCCATAGTACCCCCATCCCATGTTCCTCCTGGGCTACAATACCCCCCCATGTGCTGTTAACTTTTTAACCTGTCTAAATTCTCTCATCTTCTTGCTCAGACTCTCCTTTATCTTGAGAAACATAATAAGGTAAATTTCTTACTTGTGGCATAAGAAAACTACGGCACGTGGAAGAGCATTTTCACACTTAGTGTGAACAGAATCCCATGCAGACAAGTCTACACAGCCCTTCGTGTTCTTACACTTTTCAGTTTGTCTTCAGTCAGAATGTGTCCCCATGATGAATGAAGCTAACCTTGGAACTCAGACAAGTGCATAATTATATCTGGAGCTGCTTTTGGATTTCAATGGTTACATTGAGCTTTGTTATGCAAAATAATTGCTGGGTCCATCGCCTGCCTGTCTTTAAAGTCTTAGGAAACTTTTCAGTCACAAAGATCCAGTCTCCAGCATATGGAAGCCTTCTGTGAGCTACTTGACAGCTAGGTTTTGCTGCAATTCACTTGGTTTAGGAAGATAATAGTGTGCTTATGCATCACCAAGCTGAAAAGACATATATCTTAGAGATTGGGAGCTGCAGGGTGTGAATATAGATGAAAACCTGTGAATGTATAGGATTTGCTGAATGAGGAAGTCAGCAAATGAGGGGTTTGACTTTCTTCTTGATATTAATTTCAAATTTAAATTAGGGCTGAGGTTGTAACTCACTTGCCGAGCACTTACTTAGCATGTATGAAGCCCTGAGTTTGATAACCCAACACAGTCAACACAAATTAGCTGTGGTGATATTTACAGCCAGTTTCCATAGCAGTATAGAATACTGATGTCCTGGAGTTCCAGGAGATAGGGCCAGAGAAGTGTCATTTTAATAATCGTGACAGTGTCAAGATATAGGCCTTTCTTTCCCTGTGGATTTGTTAATGCTGTGAGCTTAAAGGTGTACAGACTATCCAGCTCCACTCTGCCCTCTGGTGGTGATATGATGAATGGCATGAATCTGAAACCCTCCTAGCTTATGTAACAGGGTCCTGAGTCACCAGGCTGGTCCTTAGTATAGGATTCCGGAGTTTGGGGCGCATTTTTACTTCTGACCACTGCGTTACTACATTCTATTGCTTCGGTAGTTTGAAGAGAATATTTTATAGTTAGAAATTTTTCTAGGTACTTTAAGACATTACCATTTTTCCTGTTGACAATGTTGTCTTTAAAATGTTCATTTAAACTACATTTAAATTTAAATTCCCACTTGCTCAACTAAATGCTAATGCTTGTTATTATGGAAACGTGTCTGATTTTTATTTGATTGTCAGTGGAACTATACTAAGTCTTTCTACTACCATTGATGGCTAAAGGCCTTCAGAAACACTAGGCTGCGGTTTCCCACGGCTGGATTCTTTTGGTCACTGTTGTTAAGACAGTTTGTGATGCTTTGCTGATTTCTTGCATTTATGTTATGCTTTATAACAACGGTATATCTTGTTACAGAATCATTTCTTGAACTAGTTTTTCCTAATGTGTTGTTCCCGTCATTCCTCTGTCAGTAATGCTTGCAGTTATGGGAGCATTGTTCCTAAATTAAACTGGTGCCCCTCCCCTTTATTAATCCTCCAAACCTCAAAAGCATTTGATCAGCACCCATCCAAGTGGGACCCAAGATAAGCTGTTCCAGCAGTGCGCAGGACCGAGTGATATCATAGCCAAGAGATAAAACGAGAAACAGCCAAGAGAAGTGAAAAGGGACCACACATCCACAGTGTCTTGGTTCCCTTTCCATTGCCGTGACAAACACTGGGACCAAAAGCAACTTGGGGAAGAAAGGGTTTATTTCAGCTTACAGCATGTAATCCATCATCCAGGCAAGTCAGGGCAGAGACCCGGAGGCCATGGAGGAGTGCTACTTCCTGGCTTGTTCAGCCTGCTTAGAGTTCCCCGAGCACCAGCCTAGTCAGCTGGGCCCTCCCACATCAAATAGAGAAAATGCCCCAAGGTCAGTCTGGTGGGCTATTTTCTCAACTGGGGTTTTGTCTTCCCAAATGACTCTAGCTTGTTTCAAGTTGACATCAAAAGCAGCCAGCACAACCAGTGGGTATAAAGAAGAAGGCTCAACTGCAAAGCAGGAGCTGCGGGCCGCAGTGATGCAGGGTGACGTCTCCTGCTAGATGCTCAGGGAAGCAGTGAGCATGGAAGGTTGATGGCCGCAGACAGACAGTGCCTGGACTCTAACCGTGTTGCGTGTTTGTTTCAGTATTCACTGAATGAGAAGAAGATGCTGCAGCTGAGGACAGAAATGGTGTCCCTGGTAAGGACTGAGGCCGGCCTCACTGTCGTCCTGCTCCTCTTTGCCTCTCCCCACGCATGGCTTTGCCGTTAACCATCGTCTGACGTGTTATAATAGGAGGATGTGCACATTTAGTGTGGGGTTCTTTTTCATTGTGGTAAAATGTATGTAAGAGTTATCACTGTAACGATTGTATGTGTATAATTCAATGGCATGTATTGAAGATTTGCTTTAATTGTGTGTGTGTGTGTGTGTGTGTGTGTGTGTGGTCTATGGTATCTGGTTATGGGTACGTGCATGTAAGTGCAAGAGCCTGTAGAAGCCAGAAGAGGTCATTAGATCCCTGGAGCTGGAGTTACAGGAAGTTGTAAGCTGTCCAACATGGGTGCTGGGAACCAAACTCCAGTCCTTTGGAAGAACAGCACGTGCTCTTAACTACTGAGCCATTTCTCCATCCCCAATGTCATTTATTCTGCAAAACTGAAACTGTTTTTTTCTTGGGGGCAGGGTGCACAACTGTGTGTGCACTGCTAGGGGTCAGAGGTCAATATCAAGTGTCTGCCTGCATAGCTGTCCCTCTTCTGTTTCGAGACGAGGTCTCTCTCTGAAGCTGGAGCTCAGCGACTGACTAGGCTGGCCGGCCAGTGAGCCCCGGGATCCACCTGTCCACTTCTCGGCCCTGGAATGACAAGCACACACCTCCACACCTGAGCTGTCTTTCTGGCCCCCAAACTGTGTCTCTTAAACCCTAGTTCTCTACCCCTCCTCCTAGCAGCAGCAACCACCTCTCTGCTCTCTGTGTGTCTGCTCTTGTAGACACCCTTGTATAAGTGGAGTCTGGGCATATCTGTCTTCCCACGGCTGACCGGCTCCAGTGAGTGGAGTGCCATGGTCTGCCCGTGTTGCTGCCCACAGCAGGCTCCCTTTTTAAGACAGAGCCGTTCCGTTATTGCTACATCTCATCTGTTCATCTGTTGATGCACACTCGGGTTCCTCCTGTCACCTGGCTGCTGTGTAAAATGTGACAAGCATGGATGTACAGACAGGATTTAGATTTTTCTGCTCTGGGTTCTTTGGGGTAGATACCCAGAAGTTGAATACCGCAGGACTTTTAGACTTCACAAAACAAAATCATGTTTATGAATGTTAAGTCTCAGTGATTGACAAATAATATGAACATTTAAATCTCAGTGACTGACAAGTGACAAAATATAAGACACTACTTATATTCTTAATTTAAGGCATGAATTAATTTCTCTGTGTGTGTGTGTTTCTGTATATATTGCATACATACATAGCTTAGCGGTAGTGGCCTGAGTGTAGCTTATAGGCTAAGGAGACATCCATATTGTGTTGCCTGGGACCTGTGCTACAGGACCTTCCATGGGATACAAGGGTCTTTCTCTAGAATGGCTTCATTTCCTTATTATTTACCTGCATTGGTGTTGGTCAGAAACTGCTTGACAGGCAGAGGAGCTCTGTGAGTTTGAGACCAGCCTGGTCTATAGGGGAATTCCAAAACCCTGTCTTGGAAAACCAAAAATGGAAGGAAGGAAGGAAGGAAGGAAGGAAGGAAGGAAGGAAGGAAGGAAAGGAAGGGAAGGAAGGGAAGGAAGGAAGGGAGGGAGGAAGGAAGGAAGGAAGGAAGGAAACTTCTTATCCTTAGATTTTCAGTAGAATATTCTCAGTGTTTTTATGCATTAGTTTGACAGCCAGAGTCATTGCCCACTGAGGGTTAAATGTGTAGTCTGGAGTTGTCTTATGTTTGGAGAAGGACATAAATCAACCCCTGGTAGCTGAGCTTTGTGTTAATAAAACCCTTGATGTTAGACCTGTGAGAGAAGACGGCCTGAAAAGATGTGGCTAGAAATAGTATTGAGTCAGCATTGTTGCTGTCAGATCTAAGGCCATGTTCGTCTCTCAGCAGAACTTTTGTGTCCACTGTCCCCTGCAGGGGCCAGACAGGGACTAGACATCACTCCATCGAGAGCAGGCTGGTCTCATAATGCCACAGCATGTAAAGCAGTCTGGTTTCAAAAACTGCCATATAGATGATTGTCTTTGACTTTCTCAATAGCTCTTCTGGAGGCAAGACCAATGGTAGGTTGTTGGTTTGTTCTCTTCCTAATTCCTTTTTCCAAACAGAATGAAACTGAGACAGGAGACATGAAAGGCCCTGTACAGTGCATTGTGGCCTGAGGATAGCAGAGCCAAGACTAACCCCAGCTCCACTTCTCCATCCAGGACTGCACCATGCTGAAAATGAGCTCTGTGTCAGATCAACAGGGAACAGAATGGCACCCACAGACTCTAACGTTCTCAACCTCTTTGCTTTCAAAGCACGCCCAGCAAGACAGAGCCCTGACCCAGACAGACAGGAAGATAGAAACCGAGGTGGCTGGCCTCAAGACTCTGCTGGAGGCACACAAGCTTGACACGATCAAATACTTAGCAGGTGAGATGCTTCACACCCAAGCATTTCAAATGGCTGAAAAGAATGTCTTCCGCGTCATAGAACAGTCAGGGGCAGTAGCACATGCCATTGGCCGACGCGGCTGTCTCTGCTGCTTTAACATCTTTTTGTTGCAGCACATCCTGCGGTTTCCAATAGATGGAGTACCTCCTTTAAAGTGCATTTTCTTCCTTAGGAATAAAGATACCTCTGTACTTTATAATTGATGAGACCTTAGATTTGATAGGATGCTATCCTTTCCCTATGGTTTAGGGATTTCAGTGAACTTCAGTACAGGGAATTGCTTATAAATAGAATGGAAGGCCTTTGATTGTGACCGTCTTACTTCATTGGTGACACTTTGAAGGGAGTACCCATGTGTGCACCCGAAGAGGCCAGAGGATGACATGGCTTCCCTACTTTGTCACTCTGTACCTTGTTCTCTCTCTGAAGCTGGAGCTACGCTGGCAGCCTGCACTCCCGTATCTCCCCTCCCACCCCCACCCCCACCCCCACCCAGAGCTGGGGTTATTGGTATGCACGCTTTTTATGTGGATTCTAGAGACTCAGACTCAGGTTGCACTCACTGAGCCATCTCTCCAGCCACAGGACAGTCTTGTAAAGGAGTGATTTTTGCTTTTGTAATTCTTAAGCCAAAGAAGGAATATTTTGGCATCAAAAAAAAAAAAAAAAAAATCACTAGGGGGCTGAAGAGATGGCTCAGTGCTTAACATCACTGTTTGCTCATGCAAAGGACCTGGGTTCAATTCCTAGCACCCAACTGCCTATAACTTCAGCGAGTTATAGCTCACAACTGCCTATAACTTCAGTTGCAGGGGATCTGATGCCTTCTTCTGGACTCCATGGGCACCAGGCATGTACATGTTGCACATACATACATGCAGGCAAAACACTCATTCTCATACAATAAAAAAATAAATATTTTTTAAAAATCACTATTTCAAGTCAGTTTCGATAATTTAGATTAATCAAGTATTTTGAAGTTATAGCAGCATTTAGTAGTGAAATTTTGCTCCTTATATGGCAGTGCTTAACACACACATGCACTTTGATCCTATAGTTGCTGTGATTCTGACTTGCATTGGAAGGGTTTCCTGACTCTGGACACGTTTGTACAGGGAAGATGCTGGCTGCCGGGTGGAGATTTGTTCTTTAACAAGCAGTGTTTCATGGATTGCAAGCCTTTGGTACACTGTTTCCAGGTCTTGACTGGCACAAGAAGAGTGAAGAAGTGCCAGTAGCCAGCCGCCAGCCGTCCCTCCTCACTCAGCCCTCTAAGTGACTTCTCACACCTGGTACAGTACAAAAGAAAATCCCTGAGAGTGACAAGGGGGCTAACGGTACTCTTGGTTCTTTTCTTGCAGGGTCTGTGTTTACGTGCTTAACAGTAGCTCTGGGATTCTATCGCCTGTGGATATAGTAAAGTGTCTCTTTAAAGAAATTTCCATGATTTTGCCTTAAGAGTACCAGGTTGTTATCTCACCTACCCCACCCCACCCTTTTTTCTTGTTTCAAGTTCTAATCCTAATTTGACTTCATGCATATTATTTATTTCTGTGCAAACTGTGGATCCATAACCAAGGTGAAGAAGTCGGAATTTCTGTAATTATTCTTCGGAGCTCCTCTCTTTAGTTGGCTTTTTGACTGAGCAGTGTGGACCACGCTTTCAAGACTCCATTCAGCCAAACCAGTGGACTTGGTCTAACCTGCAGTATATGAGAAAAATAAATACTAGTGTCATCCTCTACAGCTTGAAATAGTCTGTAATGTGGAGAACTGGGGAACTCATTTACATCGGAAGAATCATTGGAATTCAATCCAGAACACCAGCTCTTCCCAGCCTCATCACCAGGCGCTCCTGCGCAGCCTCGCTCTGATGCAGCAGCTGCAGCATTAACGATGCTGGTGCACCTTCCGGGCCTTTGTCTTTGGTTTCCATTGTCTACATAACATCGCCCATCGCCGCGGTGGTTGTTAATGTGCCTTGCAACTGGAAGTCTCGGAACCTAATGGAGCTTTGTAATTCTAACACAAGTTCTTTTACTGCTGCCACTCATGTGTTTTTGGTGAGACAAGGTCTTGCTATTCAGCCCAGGCTAGCCTTGAACTCACAGTCCCGAGTCAAGACACCATGCCCAGCCTCTTAACCATCCAGAATGCTAACTTTCCTCCCTCTCCATCCTCTTACTTTCCCTCATGATGTGCGAGTTTAACACCATACTCGTGGCATTACCTACCTAGAAAACTTAGAATTCTTGGAATGAAACCCTGCTTCAGTCTGTGGTTTAGAGTGAACTTCCTTCTGGTTGTCCACCGGTTTTTTTATAAAATGACACACTGCACTTTCTTCCTGTGGGCTATCTAGATAGTGTACACAGTTTTTAGAATGAGTACGCCTGCGCCTAGGAGCAGCGCAGGTTGTCACTTGCCCAGTGAGAGAGCCGCCATGCTCGGCATTGGCCTCATGCGCATTGATTTCTTTGTGGCTGAAGACACCCTCACATTCGCCTTCCCTCTGTATTTAGAACGAGCAGCAAGGTTATTCTGGAGACGCACATTCTCCTCCTAGTTAAGTTGTTGGCGGATGGATGAGAGGGAGCATTTGGCAAGCAGTGACACTGAGGAACCCTTCCTGGCTTTCCCCACACAGGCACAAATGCCCAAGCTGGTGCACGGTGCAGAAACCCCAAGAGACTGCACCATAAGATTGGTGGAATAAATCACCCCTTGTCACTGTTCCAACCACAGTGCTAAAAATAAAAACTACCTTTTGTTCCTTGGATGTAATTTCCAAGTTTTAGAAATCATTAAGTCCTTGCCTCTTTAGAAAACATTTGTGTAAAAAGATTCCGAGCCCCACAGAATATGGAAATCAAGTGCTTTTGTACTAGAACAGTATCGAGGTGAAATACAAGTTCATCCTTTTCAAGTAGAAAACAAAAAAAAAGTCTCAACTACTTAATAAAATACTTGGTTGATGTATTCTCTCCCTGTTTCAGAAAAGAGTCCCCAAAGCCTGCCCATCCCACAGTCCCCTTACACATGGCAGGCCTCCATGAATGCCGTCCCAGTTAGACCAGTTAACTGCTTCATGGTAGCACAGCTTCGGAGCAAGGGCTCCAAGCCCAGATGCTCTTATCTCTCCCAGAGGAAAAAGCCCAGTATGCAGTTATATTTCACAGAGGGTACGTTTCCTCGTGTCCTGATCAAGTATTCCTTAAGGAACACATCCGTGTGTCTGCTTAAAGTATTCCACAGCACTCCTGGGCTCAGCAGGCTGTGTTATCTTTAATTTTGCTCTAGATTTTGTTTCTTTATGGCACATGACAGTCTTATTTGGCCTTAGAAACTGTGCTATCATTGAGAGTGTGGGTGCCATGCATATCTGAAGGTTAGGAGAGTTCAGGACTGTGTTCCCCTATTTCCTAATAAAGTTGAAAAGCATTGAGCTATAAATAAGCATGTCCTGTCGTCGCTGCCTTGGACATACGTAAGTGTGTGGGTGCTGTGACCAGACACTAACTGAACTTTCCTCACTGAGGCTTCAGAGCCCTTAGGAAATGTCTGGCAGGTTTCCAGGTAGCAACCATGGGTCAGGCCTGTGGGGACATTTAACAGTAGCTACATGGGGTAAAAGAGTCCAGATCTTAAAGTGTTCCTCTGCCTTCTTGCTGGGTACTGTGTTTTCTGTCCCCTCTATTTTTCCTGTGGTACTTGCTAGGGACCAAACCACAGGCCTTGAATGTGCTATCATCCTGCCTCAGCCTCAGCTGAGATTAGAAGCTTTAGTCAGTATGTCTGGCTCCCTCTGGCTTTTTTTTTTTTTTTTTAAGAGCCTCAAGTCCAGTTTCACTCCTTTCCTGCATTCATATGCAAAACCCCTTTGGGGCTCTTTACTGAAGACATTTGCTTTGATTTCTGTACTGCTTTTCTTGCTTAACATCTGGTGACATGATTTTTCCTTCACGTATGCCCAGCACCTTGGGTAGAAAGTCACATTCAAGAAGAAAGACCTGACTCAAAGCAGAAAAGTCTTGCTGGGGTCTCTCGGAATGCTTTAAGCACTGGGAGCCTGAGCCGCAGCAAGCCTGTGCTTGGGCTGGCCTGTCTAATGTCTTGGCATCTTCTTCCCTTGATTGTCCTTGCCCCCCTCCTCCCCAAGCTGGTCTGCCTGCCTGCTAATTAACCCTGTCACTACTTCGAGCATTTCCCTTCCCCAACCCTTGTATGCCATGTGCCAGAACTGGCAGAGCCAACCCTAGAAAACTTGGGACTTTAAGGTAATCAAATTGTTACAGCTTTTATGACCCTATTGCAAAAATGTGTTAACCAGAAATAATTTATTCTTTATGTATGTAAGATACTTGGAAATGTTCAGCCTTATTGGAACTGTATTCAGAAAATATCTTTTTACAGATTTGTACTTACATTCCTCCAATGACAACCCAGATCATGTAACCCTTTTATTACTTCAGCAAATATTCTATTATATTTTATTATTGTATGGAGTGAATATATTTTATTATCTAAGATAAAAGATTTATGCTTGTATGGCTAATAGAACTTTCTGGTTCCGATTGAATGTATGAAAACAGAATATACCTTCTATCTGAAACAACTGCATCTAAACTAATAATCCCACCTATTGTAAAATGATACCACTTAATTGTCTCTAGTGAATTACAAGTAAATATAATACCTAAAAAATTGGATTTACAGAGAAGCTATATTTGAAAGTGAATGTCTGATTTGCAAAATAAATTATTTGAAAGAATTTTTAGCATCTTTGTGTAACGTGTTTTGACTTCCTGTGTGAGGGGAAATGGTGCAGTTACTACGTGGGGTTAAGTGATCACCAGAACCGTGGGAAGCAGTAGTGCAGTCATTGGGGTTTGCTCCTCTGTGCCTCACCTTGTCCCCGCGGACAGAGAGTCTCAGACCTGCTTATACACCACTGAGGGCCTTCTGTGGGCGTCACAGTTGACCAGAGAGCTCCCCTTTGAAGAAGCCACATAGAATGACACTGGGGCTAGCACTGGGGAGCAGCAAACAAATTTCCACCTTAGACATGCTCTCCCTGGGCAGGACTCTCCAGGCTGACCTAGAGTCAGGACTGGCTGCCCCAGAGGCACTCAAAGGAAGTGTTTGGGACGGTGGGGAAATGGAATGTCAAGAGAGCCAGCAAGACTCATTCTTCTCCAGCCAGAAATCTTTCATCCAAGTTAAGACAGTCAAGAAACTAGATATAGCCAGGTTTTTTGTTTTGTTTTGTTTGAGGTACTTGCTAGGGATCAACCTAGTGCCTCACTCAGACCTGCAATCTCTCCCAGCACTTAGGAGCCCGAGGTAGCAGGACGGCCATGAGATTGAGGCTAGCTGGGGTTACAGAGTAACCTGTTTCAAAAAAAGAAGCAAGAACCTGATTTCAAAGCGAGCCATGGTTCCTCAAAGATGAAGAGCAGATGGATGAGGCAGGTTGAGGCCCCGAGTGGTTCAAAGATTCAGCTCGATATCAGTATGCATCATTTTATATTTCAGTTCTGCATCTCCTTGTCTTCCTCAGCCCCATTCACATCATTAGCAAACCAAAACCTTTGTCTAGGCACTTTGATTTTTCTATTGAAAGGAAGGCATTTTCTAGAAACAGATTTCCATCTAACCTGTTTGTCATACTGCCAGACATGTGTTTCTCGTAACCGTGCAGTTTCTACAGAAGGTCATTGCCATGGAGCCACAAGGTCATGAATCAAGGGGCCCAGGGGAGGAGTAGGTGGACTGCCACCTGCATCAGCATTGGTCACTGAGAGCCAAGAGATTCTGTTTTTATGGGTATCACAGATACGCAGGTGTGTGTGCATGTATATATACATTTTATGTGTGTTCATGAAGTGTGTACGTGTGGGAGCCAGTGGTAAACATCAGGCCTCCTTGATAGCACTCTACCTCTTTAAAAAAAAAAAAAAAAAGTTCTCTTACTGAACCTGGGGCCAGCCAGCCCCAGGATCCTGAGGTCTCTACTTCTCTAAATCTGGGGTCACAGGCACCCCCACCATGCCTGGCTTTTTGATGTGCAAGCTAAGAATCTGAACTTAGTCCCCCTGAGTATGCAGCCAACACTTTACGGACTGAGCTGTCTTGCCAGCCCCATAGGTAAATAGCTGTTTTTAGGCCAATGTTTTAAAACATGAGTCATTGTAGTGGTTAGTGTTAATCAGACCCTCACTCTTCACTTTAAACCAATCTTTTTCCTCAGTGAAGCAGCTGTCCCCTCTTATAACAGTTCTGACCCTAATAGGGCCAGTCTTTTGTTTTGTTTTGTTTTTTTTCCAGAGGCCAGTTTGCTAACACCTCTGCCCCATATTACCTCACCATCCTATGTTGAGTCATGTCTGGCTTCAGTCAGACCCTCAGGAAATATGTCCAGTCTGGTAGCCAGTCAGGGTCCTAGCCTGACACCACAATGTAATAGAATATTATTTTAAGGTGTGTTACTTTTGTTTATGCTGCATTTGTTTAACGATGTGAAGCTGTGTTACTGTGCCTGTCTAAAACACCTGATGGTCTAATAAAGAACTGAACGGCCAATAGTGAGGCAGGAGAAAGGATAGGCGGGGCTGGCAGGCAGAGAGAATAAATAGAAGGAGAAATCTGGGAGGAGGAGGAGGACTCCAGGGGCCAGCCACTCAGCTATACAACCAGCAAGCCACAGAGTAAGAGTAAGATTTACAGAAGTAAGAAGACAGGAAAAGCCCGGAGGCAAAAACTAGATGGGTGAATTTAAAGTTAAGGAAAGCTGGCAAGAAATTAAGCTAAGCTAAGCTAAGGCCGGGCATTCATAGTTAAAAATAAGCCTCCTTGTGTGATTTATTTGAAAGCTGGGTGGTAGGCCCCACAAAAGACCAAAGATCAACCAACAACATTTTGGTGCCCAACATGGGGCACCAATTGTTATCCTTTTATTTAATTGGCTGTCAAAATCAGCAACTGCAACTCCACTGCTGCCAGCAGTGGTTAGGCCACAAGGGCCATAGCCAGAGGGGATTCCGTTCCCTCAGGCTCCAACTCTTGCACAGCTACTAAAGGAACTTAACTAAACCTCTGCCCCTCTAAAGAACTCAAGATTCAAAGATTAAGGTTGAATTCTGCTCTTCAGAGAGGCTGAATAGAAAGTAGCTCGCCTCCTCTCCTTGCTCGCATCCTCCAAAAAGCCCTTGTGCTTTTCCTCGCCCCTCCTTAGAAACCCTTCTCCACCTGGCTCCTCCCTACCACTTCCTGTCAGCTAGTTGCTGACTCAGCCTCCTGACCACAGGTGAATTTTATTTAATCAAACACATCTTTCCATCATTAAACAAATGTTCCAAAGCATAAACCAAAGTAACAGACTTTAAAATAATATTCTACAACACTGTAACCACAGTTGCTGACCAGATGTCATGAGCCAATCATAAAATGATTCCTGTACCAGTAAGAGTCTATATCCAGTCACTTCAAAGTACACTTAACCACAGCTGGAATTCCCCTAAGCAGGCTTAAAAGAGGCTGCCTTACCCTCTCCCGGGGTCAAAGCCATTTTTGGTGGGCTTCAGCATGCTGGTTTTTCCCTCAAGAATAAAGCTGCTTTCTGTAATTGCATATTGGGTGTCTTCTGGTCATTTGAATCGATCTAAGGACCCTACATTTTTGCTCCTGTAAGTTACCCATATTCCTGTAAGTAACTCCAATAAAACTCATTGGTTCACCAAGTTAGGCTTTGGCGCTATCTGTACGTTGGTCTGTCGTGAGCTCCCTGTCTGGAGTAAGTAGATGTGTATGTTGCATCTTCACATGAAAAACTTGTCATGGGGATTCTTTTCATCTTCCCAGTCTTACATCCCTTTGTGTTAGCTTTTAACTTCAAGCTGGAGGGCTTCTGATCACAAGAAGGCTGCCATAACTTCAGACATCACATCCTCAATATGACGGCATTTTAAATGGGGGGGGGGGGGGAGGGCACTTCTCATCTCCTTAAGTGTCATAGACCAAGATTGAGATAAACAGACAAAATCAAATATTTAGCATTTTTAGCCTCTTTGGTAGGGAAGTGGACAAGCCTGACAAGTCTGAAAATGGTTGTTAGGTTGTCATGCAACAGTGTTGGTTACAATGTTAATAAACTAAACCAGGCTGCACACAGTAGAAAGCCCACAGTCACTTGAGAATGTCCCTTTTAATACCAACAGCATAGGGGTGGTTTTATTTTACTACACTTCAACAGTGTTTTGTTTTTTAAGATTTATTTATTTATTTATTTATTTATTTATTTATTTATTTATTTATTTATTTAGTATGTATGTATACAGCGTTCTGCCTGCATGCCAGAAGAGGGCACCAGAACTCATTATAGATGGTTGTGAGCCATCATATCACTGGGAATTGAACTCAGGACCTCTGGAAAGTGCAGCCTGTGCTCTTAACCTCTGAGCCATCTCTCCAGCCCTCTCAAGAGTTTTTTTTACTAACTCTTTAATTACTTTTTTACAATTTATTTTTATTTTATGTGTTTGAGTTCAGTTTAGCCTGCATGTATGTGCAACATGTGTGTGCAGTTCCAATGGGGGCCAGAAGAGGGTGTTGGGTTCCCTGGAGCCAGAGTTACAGACAATTGTGAGTGGGTGCTAAGACCCAAACCCAGGTCTTCTGCAAAAGCAGTGAATGCTCTTAACTTCTGAGCTATCTGTCCAGCCCCACTTCTTGAACTGATTTCAAAATCACATGACCAGTTTTATAGACTCTTACCATAACTCTGAACTAACTTAGATGTTTGAAGAGGGAGGGGGAAAGTTCACATACACATTTGGGTATTTCTCAAAACTTCATACAGTTACATATCCTCATCTTTGGTATATTATTTTAGCCAGAGAATTGGGGGGTTCTCTTCTGCCTAGAGGGAGCAGGGAACCTTCTTCAGTTACCACGTGTGTAAAGATGTGCATGCTCACCTGCCATCCCTCTCCTGTGCTCTCCCTGCACGCCCCCCGCACTGACACAGAAAGAAAACTCATCAGGAGGTGTCCACCCTCAAGACCTGATTACTTTGCAAAGCCCCACCTCCCAGAGTCATCGGAGACTCAGGTTTCAATATGACCTTGGGAGGACACCAACATCACAGCTCTTGAATTTATAACATAATGGTGGTGATGATGCTAGGGATACGGAGAGCTTTGAGGTACTGTGTTCTGGGTACAGCTCTGAAGTCCATGTGTTCACTTCATCCATCCTACACTGGTGAAGAATGCTAGGATTGTCTCTACTTTCCAGGTGAGGGCACAGAAGCATAGAAAACTGAAGTAAGTCCCCTGCCCCAAGCACCTAGCTTAGAGGGGTGACTCCTCCAAACATGCTACCACCGGAAAATAGACACTCCGCTCAGAATCAAATGAAGTCTAATGTGAAAACTTTCTGTAAACAGTAAAAGCCCAAGCATGCCTAGAAACCATTGTGCAGTCTGTGTGCAATAGCTGAAGTCATTCACTAGTGCTTGTAATTATATTTGCACAACTGCCCAGGTGAACACATTTTCCCTTTGAATGCTCCAGAGCAACCATCCAGGGTACCAAGATAGACAAACAGACTGAGAACCATGCAGTAGCCTACAAAATAGCCCTTTCCTTTGGTTTTCGTACAGCTAGAGTACAGACATCACTGTGACAGGCAGTAGGAGAGTACGAACTGCCCCTGGGGAATATTCCTCACTCATGTCCCAAGGGAGGTGGCAATGTTCCTATAAAGGGGTTGATATAA